TGGCATGTGGTGCTGGGGGATTGAACCGCGGTCCCTGATGCTTTGCCAAGCTTGTTCTAAGTAGGTGCCTTAGACCACTGAGCCATCTCTCCAGCCCAAGAATGAAATTTGTTTGTTAAAACAAGCTTATCATTTTCCTAAAAGTGTGTTAACATAGAGGTGTGTTGAATAACCAGTTTATCTTCTTTTTTTTAACCAGTTTATCTTAATGACAAGCAGTGAAAGTTAAACTCACAACTTATTTAAAGCTGACGTCGTCATAGAATGGATTTGGGGAATACAGTAATCAGTCTGAAATTTGTGTGGATCTGTGACAGGTTTATGATGTTATATATGAATTTTATAGTTTTTCCTTCTCAAGACATTTTGAGATTGCCAAGTTAATACTGTGCTTTTAGTTTCTTCTCACAAGATACAGAATGCCCCAAATAAACTTTTCTTGAAAGACATAACTTAAGGTGAACTTAATTACTAAATTAAATACAGTTCTTAACTATTATTTTGTTTTATATTTTGAATTCATGCATACCAATATTATAAACATTACAATTAAGAAAAATTTAAACTCCAGTTTTAAAATCTAATTACAAGGCACAAGGATTGCTGAAAGTTTGAGGCCAGCCTGCGGTACAAAGTAAGTTCAAAGCCAGCCTGAACTACTCTAAGAAAGACAAAACAAACAAGCAAAGTTAGCAAACTTTCTGAAAAGGGCCAGATGGTAAAATATTTTGGGCTTCACAAGTCATTTACAGTCTCTGTCACAACTACTCTGCAAATCAGCCATGGATAATATACAAACAAATGGGTGTGGCTGTGTTCCATAAAACTTTATTTACAAAAAACAGGTGGTGGGCCAGACTTGGCCCGCTGGCTGTATTTGCTCATCATTGGTATAAAGTGCATTCACATGAAAAATGGCTGCATTTATGCGACAGAAAGTGACTTGGCTTTGATAAGCACGTCAGCTTAAAGGTGCTAGGGATTTGGATAGTCCGGTGATGAATCTTTTAGAGATGAGTGCTCAAACTGCAACCCAGACCTGCTAATTTATTGCAGAGTGCCAACACTGCAATTAAACTCAAATATTGAGGTTTTAGTTTAGAAAAAATAACTCAGCTGATGCTCAGCTACTGGGGCTACTTGGCTCTCATACCAGCAGAGTGGGCTCTGTATGCCCACTGCACCACACATACCGTAGGGGCGCCAGCCACCGTCTAGTCGGCTTCTTAGCTTGTCCTGCCCTACCCTTGCTCTTCTGCAACACAGCTTAACCACCTAGATAGAGAAAAGTTGGTTTATTTCCTCCAGAGGTGAGGAGTTAATATAGTTATCAGTTTTAAATTCCAGCGTCTTGGAAGAAAGTGTTTGCAGCTTCAAAGAAGTAACTTTAGTATTCTTTAGTAACTATATCAAAAAGGAAAATCAGAGGCTATTTTATTGAAGACTTGTAAAAAAGTATATGTATAAAATCTTGTGTTTCTAGTCTGTTGAACTTTTGGACTGTGTATTCCTACTGTAAACTTACAGTAAGATGCAGAAGAGTGACTACAGTGAGTTGAGTGTGCATTAGAATATAGTGACTTATATTTTGTACATTGAAAGGTCCTGTGGTTGGCAACCTCAGCTGCACACAACGGATCTTAGTACCAGGAGGAAAGGCTTTTTTCCTGCCAGGAACTGAACTCAGGACCTCAAGCATGCCAGGCAGGCACTGTGCTACAGTCATATCCCCAGCCCAGAAAGGTTTTTATTCAGATAGGATAAATGTCAGAGATCATTCACCAAAGAAGATACATTTTACTCAAGTGGGATTTTTAGGTTATTATTCATCACCTGTGCACTAATTTTCAAATGAGTGTGGTGAGTTTATCACATAGCAGTTCAGAACAGCAAATTGGGACTGGGGTTCAGGAGTGACAGAGGCAGAGTAACAGTAGTAAAGATTTGTTAGCTGACTGTTCGAAATTGAGTTGGCTGAAAAGCTAAAATGAAGACATAAGAATAGCAGTTTGGGGCCTTTTATTGTAAGAATCTTATTTGTACTACAGTATATTAATTGGTGTTATCATGCCTCTTAGTAGCAATAGGAGCTTGACTTTTTTCTATTTTAATAAAGTCGGTAAGTATGTACTACAGTTTTGAAAGATTTTATTTTGTAACTAAATAATATAAAAGTATTTTGGCTCCCAGAGTGACAGATTCTTCCTTTATATGAGGATTCACTTGGAAAGCAGCTTATTCCTTTTGGCAACAGTGTTTGCTCGGTGTTAGGTCAGATGCCATGTGACTCTTGCGTTTTGCTTTTGGTTGACGGTCTTTCTCCTAGGTGTGGGCAGCACTCTTTCCCAGAGGATCCTTGACAGGTGGAGATTTCCATTGTTGCTGCACTGTCTTGTTCACTGATCCACCAAACACATCCTATCCTGCGTCCCTTCCTGCTTTGAGAGAGGAAGTGGCAAAGCCACACCTGACACTGGTTTCTTCTGTTTTAAGAACCAAACCAACAAACCTGCCAAATTTGTGCTTTGCTGTGTTCAAACAGACTGGTTTTGCATGGATGCAGGTTCTTTTGCCTGACTTGGGGCTCTAGATAGTGATAGTATTTTAAAGGATGTTTTGCTTTTGGATAACCATCTTACTTAAATTGACTTTCACAAGCCACTTTGTCCTATCTCTTCGCCACATTTAAAAATGAAGTAGTTTTAGGGCCGGTCAGATAGCTCAGTGGACTAAAGCGCCTTGGCGAGGTTGATCCCCAGCATGCTGTGCAGGCCCGGCCCGCAGGGCACACTGAGATGGTGATTGAGACTGGGCGTGGTGGCACACGCCTGTAATCCCAGTATTTGGGAGGCTGAAAACAGGAAAATCACTACAAGTCTGATCTGTGTAGTGAGACCCTGTAGACCATGTCCTAAATACATTAAAAAATAAATAAATAAAAATGAAGTAGCTTTAAATTTCATATAAGAAGTGATAGTTTGGGGGCTGGAGAGATGGCTCAGTGGTCTAAAGCACCTACTTAGAACAAGCTTAGCAAAGCATCAGGGACCGCGGTTCGATCCCCAGCAC